GAGGGGGACGTGGGGGGGACACAGGAGGAAGGGACTGCAGGGGACGTGGGGGAGGGGCGGGGACAGGAGGAAGGGGCAGCGGGGGACGCACGGGAGTGGCAGGGACGGGCCGGGGACACTAGGGGGGGAGGCCCGGCACCGAGAGCGCCCCCAGGGCACTGTCTCCATCCGCCCGCCCGCCCCGGGGACAGGGCCTACCCACGCTGCGACTTAGGGAGATTCCCTGGCTCTCCGCGTGTCTGTGGCCCGAGGCAGCGACCCCGGTTGGGGGCCCCACCAGGAGCAGCAGCAGAAGGCCCAGGGCAGAGGGCCCGGGTGTACCCATGCCGGAAGCAGGGGCAGCCATGAGGCCGGAGGCAGCGCCCCCAGCGGGTGACTGCACCCCAACACGTGACCGTGACCATGTCTCCAGCACGGGATTGCGCCCCCACCAGGTGACTGGCCCCCACCAGGTGATGGCACTCCCAGCAGGTGAGGGCGCCTGACCTGGACATGTGACTGCACCCCCAGCACATGTCTGTGTCTCGCGATTTACCTCTCCCGACCTGGGCACATGATGGCTCCCAAGCAAGACACGTGACATTGCCCAACCATACCTCAGCCTAGGTTTGGCATTCCATCCCACAGTCAGGTCCACTTGAGAATTCTGTGTTTTAAATCCTGATGTTCTCAGCTTTCTTCATGGCCAACTTAATTGTTAGGTCGATGACAATTGAACATCTGCTGCCCAGCTATAAAAAAAGAGAGAGAGACAGAAAGTAGGTCAGGCATGGTGCCTCTTGCCTGTAATCCCAGCACTTTGGGAGGGTGAGGCAGGTGGATCAGTTGAGGTCAGGAGTTTGAGACCAGCCTGGCCAACATGGCAAAACCCCATCTCTACTAAAAATATAAAAATTGGCCAGGCATGGTGGCATGCAACTGAAATCTCAGTTCCTCAAGAGGCTGAGACAGCAGAATCGCTTGAACCTGGGAGGTGGAGGCTGCGGTGAGCCGAGATCACACCACTGCACTCCAGCCTGTGCAACAGAGCAAGACTCCATCTCAGAAAACAAACAAACAAAAAATTCATTAAGCCCTCATTTATACCTGGTAAAATTTATCCCATTGATTCTACGTTATGGTGAGTTGTATAATTATTTCATTATATATTACAATGTAATAATGATAGAAATAAAGTGGACAATAAATGTAATGTGCTTGAATCATACCAAAACCATTTCCCTGCCAGGAAGAAAGTTTGGAACTGGGTAAGAGGCAGAGGTTGCAAGAGTTTGGAGGGCTCAGAAGAAGACAGGGAAATGTGGGAAACTTTGGAAATTCCTAGAGACTTGTCAAATGGCTTTGACCAAAATGCTGATAATGATATGGACAATGAAATCCAGGCTGAGGTGGTCTCAGCTGGAGATGAGGAACTTGTTGGGAACTGGAGCAAAGGTGATGCTTACTATGTTTTATCAAAGATACCAGCAGCATTTTGCCCTGCCCTAGAGATTTCTGGAACTTTGAACTTGACAGAGATGATTTAGGTTATCTGTTGGAAAAAAATTCTAAGTGGCAAGGCATTCAAGAAGTGACTTGGTGCTGTTAAAAGCATTCAGTTTTAAAAGAGAAACAGAGCATAAAAGTTTAGAAAATCTGTAGCCTGACAATGTGATAGAAAAGAAAAACCCATTTTCTGAGGAGAAATTCAAGCCAGCTGCAGAAAGTTGCATAAGTAACGTGAAGCCAAATGTTAATGGGGAAAATGTCTCCAGGACATGTCAAAGAGCTTTCTGGCAGCCCCTCTCATCGCAGGCCTGGAGGCTTAGGAGGAAAAAATGGTTTCGTGGACCAAGCCCAGGGCAGCCTAGGGACTTGGTGCCCTGTATTCCAGCTCCTCTAGCCATGGCTAAAAGGGACCAAGGTACAGCTCAGGCCATGACTTCAGAGGGTGCAAGCCCCAAGTCTTTGCACCTTCCACACTGTGTTGAGCCTGTGGGTGCACACAAGTCAAGAACTGAGGTTTGGGGACTTCTGCCTAGATTTCACAGGACGTATGGAAATGCCTGGATGTTCGGGCAGAAGTTTTCTGGAGGGGTGAGATCCTCATTGAGAACCTCTGCTAGGGCAGTGCAGAAGGGAAATGTGGGGTTAAAGCCCCCACACAGAGTCCCCACTGCCTAGTGGAGCTTTGAGAAGAGGGCCACTGTCCGCCAGACCCCAGAATGGTAGATCCACCAACAGCTTGAACTATTTACCTGGAAAAGCTACAGATGCTCAATGCCAGCCTGTGAAAGCAGCCAGGAGGGAGGCTGTACCCTGCAAAGCACAGGGAAGAGCTGCACAAGACCATGGGAACCCACCTTCTGCATCAGCATGACCTAAATATGAGATATAACATTAAAAGAGATTATTTTGGAGCTGTAAGATTTGATTGCTCTGCTGGATTTCTGACTTGCATGGGGCCTTTAGCCCCTTCATTTTGGCCCATTTCTCCCATTTGGAATGGGCATATTTATCCAAATGGGATATAAAATCAACTTGCTTTCGATTTTACAGGCTGATAGGCAGAAGGGACTTGCCTTGTCTCAGATGAGATTTTGGACTGTGGACTTTTTTCTTAATGCTGAAATGAGTTGAGACTTTGGGGGATTGTTGGGAAGGCATGATTGGCTTTGAAATGTGAGACTGTAAGATTTGAGAGGAGCCAGGGAAGGAATGATATGGTTTGGCTGTGTCCCTACCCAAATCTCATCTTGAATTGTAGCTCCCATAATTCCCACGTGTTGTGGGAGGGACCCCAGTGGGAAATAACTGAGTCATGGAGGCAGTTTCCCTATACTGTTCTTATGGTAGTGAATAAGTCTCATGAGATCTGATGGTTTTATAAGGGGAAACTCCTTTCACTTGGTTCTCATTCTCTCTCCCCTGCCACCATGTAAGATATGACTTACTCTTCCTTGCCTTCCTCCATGATTGTGAGGCCTCCCCAGCCACGTGTAACTATGAGTTCATTAAACCTCTTTTTCTTTATAAATAACCCAGTCTCAGGTATGTCTTTATGAGCAGCATAAAAACGGACTAATAAATGCAATTCCATTTGTCTATTTTTGTTGTTGTTGTTGTTGTTGCCTGAGCCTTTGGGGTCATATCCAAAGATTTCTTGCCTAAGCCAATGTTGTGAAGTTTATCCCTATGTTTTCTTCTGGTAGTTTTACAGTTTCGGGTCAAAGTATTTAACCCATTTTGAGTTGAGTTTTGTGCCGGGCGTAAGATAAGGATCTAATGTTACTCTTCAGCATGAGGATAATCAGTTTTCCCAACATCATTTATTGAATAGTCTGTCCTTTCTCCAGTGTATGTTTTAAGTGTCTTTGTCAAAAATCAATTGACTATAAATGCATAGATTTATTTCTTGGCTTTCTATCAGATTCCATTGGTCAGTTAGTCTATTTTTTTTTTAAGGCCAATATCAATCTGTTTTGTTTGCTTTATAATATATTTTGAAGTCAGGTAGTGAATGCCTCTAGCTTTGTTCTTTTTGCTCAAGATTGTTTTGACAATTCAAGGTCTTTTGTGGTTCCATATAAATTTAAGGTTGTTTTCCTATGACATTTTCTATGAAAAATGACATTGGAATGTTGATATGAATTGCACTGAATCTGCAGATTGCTATGGGTAATATGGACATTTTAACAATGTTAATTCTTTTACTCCATTAACATGGGATATCTTTAGATTTGTGTTTTCTTCAATTTCTTTCACAAGGGTTTTATAGTTTTTAGTATACAAGTCTCATAAAGAAGTATTTGATAATAAAATATGAATATAGATAATAAAATAAGTGTTTTGTTGTTGTTGCTATTGTAAATGAAATTGTTTTCTTCTTTTTCAGAAAGCTTATTAGTGTATAAAGATGCCACTAATTTTTATATATTTATTTTGTTTCCTACAACTTTACTGAATCTATCAGTTCCAACCACTTTTTGGTGGGGTCATTAGGATTTTCTGTATATAATATGTCATCAACAGAGACAATTTCACTTTTCCCTTTCTAGTTAGGATATCTCTTATTTTCTTCTCTTGTCTAATTGATCTGGGTAGGATTTCCAGAATTATGTTGAAAAAAGTAATGAGAGTAGGCATCCTTGTCTTATCCCTGATTTTAGAGGAAAAGCTTTCAACTTTCACTATTGAATATAATGTTAGCTATGCATTTGTCATATATGGCTTTTTTGTGTTCAGTTATATTGCATGTATACCTATTCTGTTAACATTTATCATAAAAGGCATTAAATTTTAGTCTGAGAGTGATGGCTTACACCTGTAAGCCAGCACTTTGGGAGGTTGAGGTGGGTGGATCACCTGGGGTCAGGAGTTCAAGACCAGCTTGACCAACATGGTGAAACCCCATTTCTACTAAAACTACAAAAATTAGCCAGGTGTGGTGGCACATCCCTGTAATCCCAGCTACTTGGGAGGCTGAGGCAGGGGAATCACTTCAGCTTGGGAGGTGGAGGATACAGTGAGCTGAGAATGCACCACTGCACTTCAGCCTGGGAAACAGAGCAAGACTCCATCTCAAAAAAAAAAAAATGTATTGGATTTTGTGAAATGCTTTTTCTTTTCTGCATCCATTGAAATAATCATATGGTTTTATCCTTCATTTGTTAATATGATGAATCACATTTATTAATTGGCATATATTGAACCATCCTTGCATTTCAGGGATAAATTCTATTTGATCATAGTGAATGGTCTTTTTAATGTGCTGTTGAGTTTGGTTTGCTAAAAATTTGTTAAGGACTTTTGTATCTATGTTCATCAGGGATATCTGTATTTGTATCTGGCCCTTTCTCAGGCCAGAGCTCCAGTCTGCTCTGCACCAGAGGCCAAGAGGGGGTAGGAGAGGGGATGGGGGAGCTCTCATGGGAAGGAGGGGATGGGGGAAATCCTGAGAGAAGCAGGGGTTAGTGGGGGGATCTCCTGTGGGAAGGAAGGATTAGTAGGGAGAGCTCCTGAGAGAAGGGGGTGAAGGGAGCTCCTGTGGCAAGGAGGGGGTGGGGGGAGCTCTTGTGGGAAGGAGAGGGTGGGGGGAGCTCCTGAGGAAAGGAGGGGGTGGTGGGAGCTCCTGCAGGAAGGAGAGGGTGGGGGGAGCTCCTGAGGGAAGGAGGGGGTGAGGGGAGCTTCTGAGGGAAGGAGGGGGTGGGGGGAGCTCCTGTGGGAAGGAGGGGGTGGGGGGAGTTTCTAAGGGAAGGAGGGGCTGGGGGGTCTCCTTTGGGAACAAGGGGTTGGGAGCACCTCTGGAGGGAATGGGGAGTTCTGGGGGTCGTGGGAGGACACTGCCAGGGGTCTGGCGAGACTGCGGTGCCTCTGCTGCCTGCTGGGCTGGGGAGGCAGCCTGGCCTGTGGAGGAGGGACCTGCGTGGGGCCCAGCCCTGCCTGTGTGTTGCTGCCCCTCCCCACAGCTGGGCCTGTCCCAAGGTGTGTTCCTCCAACCCTCTTTGCCCTGGTCGGAGAACAGCAGTGTGAGGCCCAGTGTGGTGCGGGCTAGACCTGGAGAAGCCCCTGAGGTCTGGAGCGCAGGTGTCCTAGCGCACTGCCTCCTTTGCAGCTGGGCCCTGCAGCCCCTGCCCCAATGCCTGACCTTCCCAGCCAGGGACCCTCCTGCCAGGCTCACACCAGCCCTCAGCCCTGAGCCAGCCACAGTGCCCCTCGAACTCTGTGATCCCCGATCCAGG